GTACACACAGAATTAACATTCGTTTTTGACATGCAGACAAGTGAAAAGAGAAAGGAAGACAATCATTTTTTTTTTTCTTCAATAGAGAAAATCAATCTCATTTTCAAGCATTTTTTTTTACTTACCTGCACACACAAAAACAACCAACAGGTGTAGAAAATCCAGTAACCCATACTCCCGTCAGATCCCACTGTTTACATGCATGACCACACACGCTTTACTCAACCTTTTCTTTTGAACATTCAAAACAAACAAGGTCAAACAAAGTGCGGGTTCACACATATGTGGAAAGGAATCTATATTAATCAAACTGACTGACCTTGAGTGAAGTGGTGCCGAACGCGCCCTGGCTTACTCAAGAACGCCAAGTAAAGTATACATGTCGCCGAAGAAAACCGTAGTACTGAGGTAAGCCCCGGGCCGACCAATTGCCTCGATTCACTCTCCATTCACACGTACCATACGGGGTGGGCCCAATTGTGAAAACGGCGAGCTGCACACACTCCAAAAGAATCCACGGGTCCCACGTTAGTCTCAATTGGTCCCAGGTAGTCCCAAATGGTCCCGCACTATACCTGATGACGACGCCCGCCAAGACCACTTATACCAAGCCTCACACAAAAAAAAAAAACCGCGAGTGTCAGTTATGTCGGCATCACCCGTCCTACTCACAGGCCTCGCCTGTCCCCAAAAATCTGACGGGACTAATGCCAATGACCTTGTTACGGCGCGCACACACAAAAAAAAATCGTCGTGCCGCTCCGCCGTGACAAGCCTGGTCCAACTGACAGATTATTGTCAATACCTCTATTGTCGCATGTCGTACTGCCGCAATAGTCACTCAACAATTTTCCCCCTTCACCGACGTTGACGGCGAACCCTTCGACGTATCAAAAATATCCACCACTCTCCCTTCACTTAGTGTTGTCTGGCGAACCCCAATTTCGGCAGCATAACGTCGCAAAAATGGTTGTCGTTGACGCTGGAAAAATTCGGCAACATTTCCCCTCAGAAATAGGAAAACAGTCTGGCGAGGTCCGCGCCCTGGTACCACCGCCAGTGTAGTCCTGATGTTCCGTTGTTACTGCTGAAAACCACCGTCAAATTAATAAAATATTGGGCCCTGGACAAAATCCAAGCCCAACACAGCCGATCCACCGGACCAGCACCAACCAGAGGGAAGTGGAGCAGAGTGCTCCTTACCCCGGCTATGGCGGCCCTGCTCCTCTCGCGCTCCACTGCAGACTTTCAACCTCCTCCCACATTGCCTCTGGCAGCTCCTCCAGCAGCCCAGCAGAACCCCAATTTCGACAGCATAACGTCGCAAAAATGGTTGTCGTTGACGCTGGAAAAATTCGGCAGCATTTTCCCTCAGAATAGGAAAACAGTCTGCCGAGGTCCGCGCCCCGGTACCACCACCAGTGTAGTCCTGATGTTTCGTTGTTGCCGCTGAAAACCACCGTCAAATTAATAAAATATTCGGCCCTGGACAAAATCCAAGCCCAACACAGCCTCCTGTCGTGCCGCCTTGGTCCCGCAAAGTCCTGAGTGCCGCTCCACCGGACCAGCACCAGCCAGAGGGAAGTGGACCAGAGTGCTCCTTACCCCGGCTATGGCTGCCCTGCTCCTCTCACACTCCACTACAGACTTCCAGCCTCCTCTCACCTTGCCTCTAGCAGCTCCTCCAACAGCCCAGCAGCACTCAAGTGTGCTTGCCACACACTAGCAGCACGAGTGATTTTTGTGTGCCAGTTAGTGACAACTGCCTGTTTTATAGTGACTGAGGAGGGCTGAACGTCACTCCAGCCCCTAGGCAAAATCGCGGGCTCATAGTGAGCCCTTGATCTGCCTAAGATCCAAGGATAACTGTGGCCGCACCACAGCCACAACCTTAGTGAGGGCAGTTTCTTTAACTGCCCCCATTTTCTTTTTCTTTTCTTTTCCCCAGCTATCTCGGATTTTCACGAGGTAGCTGGGTTTTTGCCATTTTCAAAAGTGTTTTTCTTTTATTTTTCTGACAAGGGGTTGAAGAGATACAACCCATTTCAGTTTGATGTATCTGGACCCTTTTCCAAGGTCGATACATCGGGGAAAAGGTTGTACTTAGCCTTTTCCTCTATGACCCTTCCATTTCCAGGCTCCCTTTAAAAATGGGAGCCTGACAGTTATCTCTGGCAGCTTCTACCAGAGGTAGCACCACGTGAGGACAAGTGTCCTTACGAGAAAAACAACCAAAGAAAAGAAAATTAAAACTAAATCTAACTGCACGCGCTTGGCTATTCTCCCAGCCAGGTTCATGCAGTTGCATGCACCCCCTTCCCCCTTACCTTTTATTCTGCCCTCCCCTGAAAACGGGGAGGGCAGGTGTCAGGTTGGGAGGAGTATGACCTCCTCCTCCCAACTCCCACGTTCTCCCATTCTCCCTTCAACCTCTTTTTCGTTCTCGCGCGTGCATCGTGAGTCACGAGATCCAAAATCTCGCGGCCTCAATTATTCGACTTGAATGGAGTGGGGAGCCATTCTGCTCCCACACAACCGAAAAGGCTGTTCTTTCTAACTTCGAGGCAACAACCTCGTTTCGTTTTGTTTTGTCTTTTTTTGTTTTTCATCCATAACTCCTCCCCGTTTTCGCAGCTACATGCACGCCAATGGCTAGGAAACGTAAGGGGGGGAATAAAATAGAACAAAACAAATCAAAAACAAAAAAAACTTACCCGAAATGTTATGGTTGCCCATAAAAACGGACGCCCGTTCATGATCTTGGGGCCATATGCCCCACAACTTCCTCCACTGTGCCATTGTATATTTTCATGTCCAAGCGGTAAATTCATTCGATTTTGCCCATCCCATCATTTGGAAGTACCACTATCGCGTGGTTGGAGACTCCCTGTTTTTTTTGTTCTCTCTCTCTCTCTCTCTCTCTCTCTCTCTCTCTCTCTCTCTCTCTCTCTCTCTCTCTCTCTCTCTCTCTCTCTCTCTCTCTCTCTCNGAATGTTCAGGGACGCTGGACCCGCTTTCCAGCAGGTGCTGCTCCCCACCAATAGATGGAGCCTCCCCGGGAGTGCTAGAGGTGTCTGCTCTTACCAGCACCCCTAGCACCCTCTCGGGTTGTTCTGTGTTAAAAAAAAAAAAAAAAAAAAGGGAAACGTACGCGTCACTACAGGAGTGCCCAAAGTCATCCGACTACAAACGTTTCTACTGTTTTTTTTTTTGTGGCCGATAGCTGGGCCAAGTACTGGTGGTGCCTTCTCCTCATCGGGGGACATCCACCTCACATATTTTTTAACTGGCGATGGAACATATCTTCTTTCACTACCTGCCTACCACTACTCCTAAAAAAAAAAACTCCTAAGGTTATACAGGGGACCCCTGCAAGCATAACTTTCTACCTCTCTTCGGTGAAGGGAGGTTACCTCTCTCGGTGAAGAGAGGTAACGGCATGTTTGCCCCTTCGCCCTAGCGTTTAGGGTGCAAGGGCCCAACCAACACAAGGACCGAGCATTTGCCAGTAACTGTGCCTCCCTTTTCATCTTCCCCCACCCCCATAGAGTAACAGTAGTGTATAAAGCCAACACTCTCCCACACACCACACACAAACCACTCACACGCGCACTCACCTTACCAATACCCCTATCGAGTAACAGTAGTGTCTAAAGCCAGCACTGTCCCACACACACATCCCACTCACACGCGTGTTGGCTGAAGACCTTAGTAATACAGACTGGGAGGATCCAGCTGACTATCTCAGTTCGTTGGCACCAAGAAAGTGCCACAGGCGCGACGGGTATTGAACCCACGACGTCCTGAATGCCATTTGCGTGCCTAACAATTTTTTTTTTTTTTTAAGCGCTATGCCCTTGAGGTATTATCATCGGACTAACCAGCCCAGGTAAATTCAATATTGTGTCTAATCTGACATCGGGTGGCCTTGATTGCCTTCAGGGACCCCCCAATGGGGGACACCGGCCAGGGGACAGCGGGTAGCAGAGGGACCGAGCATCATCTGAGTGGCCAGTCGCTGTGCCACCCCGATTACCCCTTCCCCTATGAACATCAGCAGACACTGCTTTTTAATTCCAACTGGGGGGACCAACGGGCTATCTCTAGGTGGCGGGCGCCAAGCATGCCCAGGAAGGTACATGAGGCCAATGGGGATTGAGCCCAAGACCTCCTGAATGCCACTGAGATATTGTCGCTTTTTTTTGGGAACGATCCCCTGAAATTTTCTGGATTTATGCGCAGGGGCCATGCTAGTCTTCTTCCAATCCCCGAAAGACATCCCCTGAAAAAGTGGTTTCGGTGTACCGACTGGCCTGCTCAGTGGGTACGCACCGAAGCTGTTGAAGCACGGACCCGAGTTCGAACTCCGCCCTTGAAGCATGAGTAAAATAGTACAATTCCCGTATTGCCTAGGGCTGGCCGGTCAGTTCAATGATCATATCTCAAGGCCGTCACCCTTTGAAAAGGTAAACGTGGTATCGGGGATGTTAGAACCATGATTTTTCGAAAATTTCTCGAGACCGTTCACTAGTGGTGCCTGGGGGGTGTTGGGTAGGTGCGCGCGTAACGAATAACGAAGGGAAAGGGATGTTCCCTCCATGGGCCGGGCTTCGACCGCGAACACTCTCGAGCAGTCCCTACGGCACAGCGATTGGGTGAGAGACGGACAGCGGTGGTTGCAGTCCGCACGACAGGACGGATCACAGGATGTAGTAGTCCGACGGCAACAAGGAGGCATGGGAGATAGGAGGACGTGAGGAGGGGAACTGAGGGGGGCAGTAGAGGGAGGGAGGGGATCGTGGGAGTTGTGAAGCTACAGCAGGCAGCAGCTCTTTCCCGGGGCTAGGTCCCACTTACACAAATTTAGCGATATTGACCGTAGATAGCAAAGATCAACGGCCAGAATCTCTTAATTCCGTGCAAGTGGGACCTTGGCCCGGGGGGACAGGGACAGTAGTGGGGCTAGGACGGTGGTCCAGATGTTGACGTGAGTCGTTCAGGCAGAGGTGAGAAAGCATTGGGAAAAAGAGGAGTGGAGAGTAGAGAGCGAGGGAGGGAAGAAAGGAGGTCCGACGGTGCGTGAGGAGGTGGTTCTCTCTTCCATGCATGGACCACGTGAAGTTGCAGCAGGCAGCAGCTCTTTCCCCGGAAGACAGTACTGGGCTAGGACTGTGGTGCAGATGTTTGACGTGAGTCGTTCAGGAAGAGGTGAGACAGCATAGGGACGAAGAGGAGTGGAGAGTAGAGAGCGAGGGAGGGAAGAAAGGAGGTACGGCGGTCTTGAGGAGGTGCTTCTCTCTTCCATGCATGGACCACGTACTGACCGACCATCTCGACTGTCGCACCCACCGACAACGGCATCAGCGGCAGCGCTATTACACTAGAGACAGGCGACCGATAGGGCGTGCCGAGTGGCCGATCGTAGCAGTGAGAGAACTGCTGGGGCTGTGTGTTGTCTGCTAGTGCCGTTGAGGAGACGCCAATATGATATCCGTTGCCTGTCAGTTGAAGTCGAGTAGTGGGTATGTCCTCTCGATGGGCGCGGGAGCGGCGCGGAGGCATGCCGATGAATCTTGCCGAACCTCGGTCGGGAGTCTGAGCGTCATTAAGCGTCCACCTCAACCAACTATACAGACGAGTACGCATCTTGGCTGCCTTCCCCTCTCCCAACTACTTAGTCTCCCCGCATAAATGCCTCAGGGCATACTCACACTAAGACTTTTTCTACAAAGCTCTGGTCTGGGGGTGATTGCACTCAGATTCACGCCTGGTTTGGCTGTAATTGCAGTCCGATGCACTGTAGAAAGTGCCAGTGTGAGTATGCCCTCAGATTGCTTTGGCAGTTTTCCCTGCTCTCGTACCTCCCTATCCCCATCTGTCTGTCTGTCTGTCTGTCTGCCTGTCTGTCAGCCTGTCTCTCTCTCTTTCTGTGTCTCTGTGTTAGTCCTGTCTCTTATACACATCTAGATGTGTATAAGAGACAGCACACACACACACACACACACACAAAATAGTGGCAGTGTATACTCCCATTTTCTAAGATAGGTTCATTCGATTTTGCTTACCTTTTCGTTTGGAGACCAACCTGCATTTCAAAGACTTTGCCCATTCGTTTTTGACGAACGGGCATTTTCAACAACTCATAGAAACAGAAATCCAGAAGAAAAAATCTATCGAAAAAAAAAAAAAAAACCCAAAAAATCTAAACTGAAGAATCTAAAGGAAAATGTATATTAAAAAAAAAAAAAAAAAACTTACAAAAAACGGTCTGACGCTGTAGAAACGGCACCTGTTGTCTCTTTTAGGGCCTGTAGCCCTAGGCACATCTTTGAGCGCCATGTGGCGTTGTTTGTTTCCTTCTTTTTTTTTTCAATAATAATGTCGTTGTCATAAGGCAACGGCCACTGTTGCCAATGACACGCTTCGCTGTTGTTTTTCCCCCTCATTTTCGTTATGTATGCCCGAGTTCGATTCTGTAAAAGAATCAAAAAAAAAAATTTCTTTTTTTTTAACCATTTTTTTGTTTATGCGTGTCATTCTTTGCACAGGGGGTATGTTTTATCCGCGCGCGTCTGATCTCAGCCGTGCAATCTCGTGGATCACACGGGCAAGATTGGTCGTGTAAGAGCATCCTTTTCACAATGGCCAACTCCAAAAGGAGCTAGCCCGTCGACATTCTGACTTCAATCCTCGCACCCCCGAGGTGATATTCCAATGTCGTATCCTACTGGGCTAGCTTCTGCTCCTGGTATAGCAGGAGCAACCCTTGTATATGAAGGGATTTTCCCCAGTAGGTTGCTTCATCTATGGCAGACACACCTATGGGTAGGCAGGCTTTGCCTGCCCGCCCCGTGGGCGGCTACCTATCAACAGCCTGAGCGGCCACCCAACCGGGCAGGTCGTGGCGTCGTTACTCCCGACCCTGGCGCAAAAATCGGACTCTGCAAGTATAAAAATAAACAAATAGGCATCCCCTTTTCTTCTATGCCGCAACCCTGTAGCTTACGCAGCCGCTCTTTTCAATGTACCTAGACCCTGAATCGCACGACTGTCATTATTCTAGGTAGGATAGATATTAGCTTCAGCATGCTCATGACCGTGTGCCTTCGCGACCCTGCTAGAAACCGCATTCGACTGGTCACAATGCCGATTAATGCCAATATTATTGGACGTCACAAGCATCCGGGCTAAGGTAAAAAGGTTATAATCTTTCGGTCAAAGGCTTTTGAAAAAACTTCTGGCAGACGTCAGTCTCATCACGTCCCTCAATTTAACGAAAAGGTTGGACAACGTCCAACATTGAAAAACCCGAGCAGATACCCTTGTAAGGGTTGTTCGGTAGTTCATGCCGATATGACAAAAACATATGTTATGAAGAAAAATAAAATAAACAATATCTGTCTGAACATTACATCCAAATTTTTTACCAAATTTAAAATAAAAACAAATACGATTTTTCATTTTGTTTTGGCATAGCTAAATGCCCTGAAAATTTACATATGTCTACTTCAGATAATACAAAACTCATCAAAAAGTCTAACAATAATAATATTGTTTAAGCCCCCGCAATAAAGTGAAAGTAAATAATAAGAAGTGAATAAAAAGAAAATAGTGAGTAGGCGAGCACGTTTTAACACTGCCATGTTTGACAATTTGTCATTTTTGTTTGGCTTAGCAAAATGACTTCAAAATTTATAGGCATGTACCTCAGGTAATAGAGAACTCAAAATTTTAATTAAAAAAAAAAACATTTATTTTTAGGCATTGAAATATTTTTTGGCGGGGGCCGAACGCCTTTTGGTTCGGACCCCGAACACCCGTACGTACGGAGCTCGTTCGCGGACCGTCGTACGTAAAGGCTGGTGATCCTGTATATATAGAGGGGCCGAACGCGTACCTAAAAAAAAAACAAAATCTTGAAAAATTATATGTTATGAAGAAAACTAAAATAAATAACTTTTGTCTGAGCATTACATTAATATTCCTTACCAAATTTGAAATAAAAATAAAATACGAAAAATAGAACTAATAATACAATTTTTTTTCTAGGCTACCAGAGTGGCCCGGGGTCATTGCCCGGCCGGACAAAAAAAAAATAATAATAATATTTTTAAGTTTTAATTTTTATTTTAAATTTGGTTAAGAATTTCGATTTCACCCCGAGGCAAAAGTGGTCCAGTTTCTTTTTATGCATAACAAAGGTTTTTTTTTTTTTTTTTTTTTTTTTTTTTTTTTTGGGGGGGGACCTTTTTTTTTTCTTTTTTGGTTTTTTTTTTTTATTCTTGGTTTTTTGTTTTTTTTTCTTTTTTTTTTTTTTGATTTTTTTTTTTTTAAATGGATAATGCTAGGGTTGTTGATAAGAGCAGACACCGCTCGCATTCTGTGGGACCTGTCTCTTATACACATCTAGATGTGTATAAGAGACAGCCATG